GGTGGTGGCGGTGAGCTTCCTGTGGGCAGAATACACCTCCTGACCTAGGCCCCAGGGGGTCGTGGGGAGTGCTTGGGTCTGGAGTCCTGGGGCTTTAGGGGTGGGGGAGGTGTGGGCCTAGGACAAACATCTGGTGCTGGTAGGTACCACCCGACCTTGACCTGCGTTTAGGCAGTTTTTTGAGCGGGGATGAGCCTGCTTCAGGGGCACCTGTTGTCCCGGGGCTTGTCATGGGGCAGGGGCTCGCTCTGCTTTGTGGCAAAGACCCCGGTTTGGCTGTCAATGCCCGTGGCCGGGTTTACTGATTCTGCCTCTCCTTGTCTGCTTTTCTCTCATGTGTTGGGGTCAAACCTCTGGATTCGGGCTTAGGGAATGTAGGTAGGGTGGGAACTTCTGAGGGCTGTTGACGGACTATCCAAATCACTTCTGGCATCTGGTGAGGCCTAGCTATCAGGACTTAAACTTTCATTTTATTTTTATTTTTGGTAAGGACAGATTTTAAACCTGCGCAGTACGTGAACCCCATGAACCTATCACCAGATCCAGCATTTATTAATTCACTGCTAATCTTTGCATCTCCTCAACCCTATGTGTGCATACACTTTGAGACTAGTCACACCCCACAGGGCTTGGCCACTACTCACCTTACCACTGACAGCTGGCTAAGGACACGGGACTCCGCGGCTAGAGCTCAAGTCTAGGTACTTTCTAGCTCTTCAACTTGAGCAAGGTTCATAACTCTGCCTCAGTTTATCACAAGACCTAACTCATGGGGCCTTTGGGAGGTAAAAATTGTACAGAGCCTGGTATACAGTAAGAGTTTTTAGTAATTGTTAAATATTACTAATGATATTACAACTTGAGTCCCATAGACACCGAAGGGTTCAAACAGGTCTGCCTAAGATGTGCTACTTTGGCATGTGAATTATTTTGAGGTGAAGGCAGTTGAGACCCTGCGGGCTCACAAGAAACTTTTACCTCTCCCTTAAAGAATTTAAACTTGGGACCTTGTCTCTTCGGAGTTATCACCAGAAATAGCTTTTTATGACCTATGGAGCAGGCAGACCTGTGATTACTGAACACCTGCTCTTTATCGGACTGCAAATGACCTTCCTCCCTCTGAAGCCCGGTGATGCCTTACCTCATCCCGAGCGCAGTGCCATACGAACCTCATTTTCCTTTCTGTCTCTGAACCTCAGCTGTGCGTGTGTGGGTGTGGGTGTCTCTGATTCGCTCATTCATATATTCGGGGTTTCCATATGTACGTATGTAATTAAATTTAGTTATTTTCTCTTATTAATTGAATCTGCCTCCTGTAGATTTACTAGGCCAGCCAGATGGACCTAGAAAGGCAGAGGGATGTTTCTTCCTCCGCCATAGTGCGAAAAAGATTCCTTACTTCATAGCAGCCTGTCAGGGCAGGCTGTGTTCTGATGCCCATTGTTGACTCTGCCCCCAGAATCTGTTTACGTCCTTCTCTGGCAGGTCTGAGGCTTTTTTTTTTAAAAATGTATTTTATTGATATTTTACAGAGAGGAAGGAAGAGGGATAGAGAGTTAGAAACATCGATGAGAGGGAAACACCAATCAGCTGCCTCCTGAACACCTCCTACTGGGGATGTGCCCGCAACCCAGGTACATGCCCTTGACCGGAATCGAACCTGGGACCTTTCAGTCCATAGGCCGACGCTCTCTCCACTGAGCCAAACCGGTCAGGGGTCTGAGGCTTTTTTTTAAAGGAAGAGGAGCACCCCTTATTTCAGACTTGGCGATTTCTAGCCTGGTATCTGGGGCTGAGAGACAGTCCTGAGGTTCACAGTTCCTGTTTCAACCTCAGGTTCACATTCTCATATCCGTGCTGCCCAGAGAGGATTGCATAGAGAAAATGGGCTCCTGGCGGCCCCGTTAAGGTGGGCACCACACACTGTTCACGTTCTTAGGGTGTTTTCTTTGCTCCAAACTGTGGGTGAATTTCCTGTGCTCATTCTGACATCTTGAGTCCTGCAATGTCCCATTGGAGGCTTTTTGGTTCTTGTGAGGGCTGCACTTTTAAAAAAATATATATTTTATTGATTTTTTTTTTACAGAGAGAAAGGGAGAGGGATAGAGAGTTAGAAACATCGATGAGAGAGAAGCATCGATCAGCTGCCTCCTGCACACCCCCTACTGGGGATGTGCCCGCAACCAAGGTACATCTGGATTCAAACCTGGGACCCTTGACTGGAATCAAACCTGGGACCCTTCAGTCCCCAGGCCGACGCTCTATCCAGTGAGCCAAAGCAGCTAGGGCAGGGCTGCACGTTTTTATACTCTTGTGTGGCTCCTGATGAAGCCATAAAAAGGCTTATTGGTTTGAGTGGCTAAGTTTCTACATGTCGAGATCTGTTGATGATGATGGATCTTTTTAAAAAATATATGTATTTTTTGACTTCAGAGAGGATGGGAGAAGGAGAGAACTAGAACATCAATAATGAGAGAGAATCATTGATTGGCTGTCTCCTACACACCCCAACTGGGGATCAAGCCTGAAACCCAGGATATGTCCTGACCAAGAATCAAAGCATGACCTCCTGGTTCATACGTCGACACTTAACCACTGAGCCATGCCAGTCTGGCAATGATGAATCTTTTGAACTAGAAAAACTTTTAAATTGAAAAAAAAAGACATATATATATATATATATATATATATATATATATATATTTTTTTTTTTTTTAGAGAGCTCTCATATCATTATGCTGGTGAGTCATTATAGTCCCCCATTCTGTATATCTGATTTGGAAGCCCTTGCTTTTAAGTGTACTTTTAAATGGTCTAATCTAATTGGAATGTTCTTCATAGTAGCCACTGTAATTTTTTTAGGTTATAATTTCCTTGAGGGTTGGCAGCAGTTTGGTAGGACCTTGGCTGAAAATGGAGTTTGGCCTACATTTCTTTTTGGCCGTATTTTGAAGCTTCCAATCCAATAGTTACCAAGATAAGGTCTTAGGACATAAAATTTTTAGGTTGTCTTTAATAGGATTCTGCCAGTTTTTTTCTTTCCTTTCTCTTCTTACATGCAGAATGATTGTACTTATAATGTCCTGATTTTTAAAATAATATCTATAAACGTCTAAAGATATTTGCTCACTGGGCATTATTTTAGGGAATGGTGAAGAAAAAGGGCTTTGGAATGAAAATTTTGGATTCTAGGCTTGGCTTTGACACTGGGTCACTGTGTGATCTTAAGACAAGTAAACGGACCTCTAATGCCTTAGTTTCCTCCTCTGTGAGATGGGAAGGATAGAAGTGTCTACCTCTTGGCTGTGTTGTGAAGATTCATAGAACTCTGCACTTAGTACAGTACCTGTTTTATAAATACTAACTATAAATACTAGCATTCGTGGGAGGAAAAGGGCTGTATTTATCAGCTTAGGCTAAGTTGTACTCCAGTAACACATGACTCCCAAATCTCAGTGACCCACAATCTAACCTTAAACCTAGTCTGATCCCTCCTCCTTTGTAGGTTGGCTCAGCACCGTGACCTTTTATAGTAGAAGGAAGGCCACTCCTTGGGAACATGCCCTCAGAACATGAGAGATGGTTGAATCATGCAGTGCTTAGAAGTGGCATGTCACTTTCTCTCACTTTTCATTGTCTAAGGCAAGACCTGATGTCACGGGCAGGAAGTACAGTCCTTTTAGAGAGAAGCAAATAATTGGGAACAATCATCAAATCTACCACAAAGGACTGTTTTATTCTAATCACTAGGAGTAGCGAAACCCCTGAGATGAATTTCTTCTTATTAGAAGCTCGAATACTAGTAAAGAGAGTCATAGACATAGAAAAATTGCAAGAGGGTGTGATTAAGGTGAGATGCCCAGATTGGACAGAAGCGTGAGTGACCATCTCTACCTGTGTTGTTAGGGGATGAATCAAAAGGGCTTCTTAGAGGAGCCCTGGCTAGTCTCAGAAGGGAACTTGGCAACAGCAGAACTGCAGTCACTTGGACTGAGATTCTGGACAGGGTGTCTGAGTTGCTTCTGAAGGTGGGATAGCTCCTAACATCACCTGCCTCCTTGGGATCACGTGGGTGGAGGACTTCGGATTGGGCCCATCAGGAGACACCCATGCACATCACGGATAAGGCCTTGTGGCGTACATGTGCAGAAAAGAAGGTGTGAGTGTGGGAGGGTATCTGTACAGAGTCGCTGTGAGGACTTGGAGCTCTACCTAAAGTAAGAAGGACTTAGTTTAGACACCTCCCCCCCCCCCCCCCACCCCAAGAGTACTGGGACGTAGGGGATGGAACACATCAGAGCAGCAGGAGCGGAGCTCTGAATGCCCCAGTTGGTCTGGAGGGAGACATTCCACAGGCATTATGCTATGTCTTCTCTCTGACTGAGGCCCCAAGTGGCAGAGATTGTATAGAACACATGGAGCTTGAATCTGAGGTGTGGGGGCGGGAGGGGATTGCCAATTTTGTCACATAAGGGAGAGTGGCAGGGAACAGACTTGAGAGCTGGAAAGGAATGAGGTAAAAAAAATCCAAGGAGCCCGGCCAGCGTGGCTCTGTGGTTGAGCATCGACCTGTGAACCAGGAGGTCACAGTTCTGATTCCTGGGCGGGGCACATGCCTGGGCTCTGTCCCCAGTGGGGGGCGTGCAGGAGGCAGCCCATCAATGATGCTCTCTCATCATTGATGTTCCTATCTCTCTGAAATAAACAAAAATATATTTTTTTGGGGAAAAAAAATCCAAGGAACGCCCCCCCATGGACTGAGACTCCATATTTGTTGAATGAGGAGGATGTGAGAGGACAGGACCCCCGTGAGGAGGTGTGGGCTTAGGGCCTCCATTAAAGATCCTGGCAACGTCACATTTCTTCTCCATCCCACAGGTCCTGGTTCATGGAAACAAGAGGGGCGTTTACAAGTAAGCTTCAGAGAAGTCACTTCAGGCTGTGGAGCTCGATCTTGCGATGAAATGGCTTCTACCTGGACTTCCGGTGGAATTCCACGGCAAACACGGGGCTGATTCTGGGGCCCTGACATTGCCTGACCCTCTGCCTGGGGAGGGCGGGCCAGGGAAGAGAGTTTGCCTTTGGCGAGCAGGGAAGCTGTGCAGACCATGAAGACACTGACTGAGAGTCATAAGGCAAAAGGTGAGCGTTGTTGGGAGTGTGGAGATGAAGAGGGAGAGCAAGGCTCCGGGTTTAGCTGAGCTCCAGTGGCCTCGGCTGAGTGAAGGGACGGCTTCCCCCATCACAAGGCTTAGAGGAGCTACTCTGGGAGCATCAGGGGAGGCCTGCTTTCTCACAGCTGCTTTTTCTTCCCCGAGGTTTGCCTTCTAATGATACTGACCGGCTCCAGAAAACGGAGGGAAAGCCCGAAATACTGGTGAGTTTGGATTATTGTTTTTTTTTTAGTTTAGTTTTTTTTTTTTTTAAAATGAAATGCTGGCTCGTTTTTCAGAGCATAGGCATATTGTGTATTCTCTTTATTGGGAAGGGAACAGGCAATCAACAAGTCACTTTTTAATGATTCCTGCATTTGTGTGTTTTATTTCCCTTTATTTTTTTTTTCAAGATTAATAGTTAGTGTCCAGGAAACTTTAAAGCATAAGAGATATATTTTTAAAAATTGCTTTAAATTCCTACCCAAGGATATGTTTCTCATAGTTTTTTTGGTTTTTTTTAGAGAAAGGGAGAGAGAGAGGGGGGGGGGGTGGGGAGAAATACTGATGTGAGAGAGAAACATCGATTGGTTGCCTCCTGTACATATCCCAACTAGAGACTGAACCTGTAGCCTAGGTGTGTGCCCTGACCGGAATGGAATCTGCCACCTTGTGGTGTTCAGGATGACACTCCAACCAACTGAGCTACTGGCCAGGACAACATAAGAGATGTTTTTGAAAAACTGAGATTATTAAAAATTGTAAAAGTACTATTAACTTTCACGTTACATCCACACTACCTAACGATAATATCTTTTGCACTAGACATCTTTTACTATTGAAATTTTGAACATACATAGAAGTAGAGAGCATAGTAATAATAGGGCCTCAGGTGCCATTACATAGCTTCAGTAGTCATCCACAATGGCCAGTTTTGTTTAATTTCTACCCTTCTCATGTCTCTCACTGGATTACTTTTGACAAATTTCAGACATTTCGTAACAATGTCTCTATAATTTTTAAAAATAACGGTAAGAGGGTAGTGGTGGTGGTGATTCTATTTATTCCAGAGCGAGGAACTATGGCTTAAAGGGGTTTGTGATTAGCACATGGCCATACCATCAGTTGATAGTGGAGCCAGGATTTGAACTTGGTTTTCTCTGACTCTCAAGCTCTGCAGCTTCCAGTATGTTGTATTTTGGACTCTTTCTGCGACATAAATCCCCATCTAATAACATGGGAGCATATTTTCCAGCCCTAGGAAATGGGCCTGGATTATTTGGTGAATGACTCATATAGAGTGCTCTTTGTAGTTAACGGTGCTTCACCCCTACTCCACCTCTCCTTCTTCCATCTTCTTTCCTTTAAATTTGATGTATTCTTTCATGTGAATGGTGCATGTGCAATTCTACAAGCCAAATTAATAAGTTTATAAGTAGACTGTCCTTATCTTCAAGGAGCATTCAAGTTCTTTGGAAAAATAATGTATAAAAAAAAGAAATGATGACAATAATTAGTAATTTTTACAATAATAGTTGAGATGGTTACATAACTGCTAGCCTAAAGCTTTCAAACCAATGTGCAGCTGCTCACAGTTTATTGACAGTCAGCTCACAGGACACATGAGCGCTTTTGGAATGCTGGTGTGAGGATCTCCACAGACACTCTCCCCAGTGAAACAACCGAAGTGATTTAAAAAACTCCACCATTAAAGCCAACAATGTAAAGTCTCTGAAAATTGTCCTAAGGACGGATAGCAAGTGGAGAAACATTTAATCAGGAAAATTTGTGTTTTAGCCCTGGCGGGTAGCTCAGTTGGTTAGCACATCATCCCGAAATGCCAAGGTTTCCAGTTCGATCCCCAGTCAGGGCATATACAAGAGTGAACCAATGAATGCATAAATAAGCGGAACAACTAATGGATGTTTCTCTCTCAAATCAATACTTTAAAAAAAAAAAAAAAAAGAAGAGAAAATCTAAGTCTCAGTGAAAACAGCAAATCTGTGGCACTTGTCGCACCCACAGTCTGCTCCGTCTGCCCACCCTTCAGCTCACCAAGTGGGACCTCTGCTCCGAGTGGGTACAGCAAGACGGTGGGGCTCTTTCTCCTCCCAGTCCCCAGTCTAGGACTGTACTTTTTCCCTGGGGAGACAAGCCACCAGCACTTCTCATTCCCTCCGGATCAGTGTTGCAGGCGAGGGGCAGAGAGGTCTGAGGTTTTCTTTCTCCACCAGCCCCTGCTGGTGGGATAGAAGCTCTGTCCCAGGCCTAGGAGGTCAAGAATCAGTAAGGACCCTATTGCCTTCTCCCCTTCCTCAGAGGGCAGAGATTCTGTGCCAGGAGAGGCAAGCTGAGAAGAAAGGAGCTTCCACCCCCACAGCCCCCCATCCCCCAGGGCACCACTCTCAGAGCAGGAATGTCACTCTGAGAGAAGTGGCTGCCAGTTCTGCTCCCAGCGCTAAGCACTGGTGCAGAGACCCTGCCCAGGGGGAGCGGCAGGTTGGAAGAACAAAGGCCAGTGCAGCACTCCTTACGGCACTGGCTTTATTTGGAACAGAGCATAAGGATGTTGAAACCTAAGAGTGCTCTTGAGAACAACGGAGATTTTTGTGGTGAGCAGTTAAGAGGCAGCTTCAAGATCCATGATAGCAACAAGCAAAATGGCAAATCAGCTAAAAGTTTAAGGGAGAGAACCAGGGAAAGAGAGAGCTGAGAAGAGCTCTGGTAGAGCCTCAAATACTGGCCTTAAAACTATCCCTGTAGCCCAGTCGGCATGGCTCAGTGGTTGAGCGTGGACCTATGAACCAGGAGGTCACGGTTCGATTCCTGGTCAGGGCACATGCCTGGGTTGTGGGCTTGATCCCCAATGGGGGATGTGCAGGAGGCAGCTGATCAGTGATTCTCTCTGATCATTGATCTTTCTATCTCTCTCTCCTTTCATTTCTGAAATCAGTAAAAATGTATTTAAAAAAAAAACTACCCCTGTAAAAGGGATAGGTCCTGACTTTAATTGGGTCAGACAGTGGCCATTTATTCCCTGAGACGTTGTTGAAAATAGTAGAGTAATCAGCTAGCTATTGGTGGAGGCTAGCTGGGTGTGATACTATTTTAGGCAGGCCGGAGAGACACAAGAGAATCCTGCTAAAAAGACTGTCATTTCTGGAGGGGGAGGGTCAGGGTGTGCATGTCCAAGGCTTCATCTGCTGACAAATCACAGTTTCAGGAACAATAGCCTTTCTTGAACTAGTCCACACCAGTCAGAAAACATGAACAAGTGACCACAGCAGCCGCCTGGGGAGGGAGCAGGGTTGGTATCCAGAGTTGCTACAGACTTTTACTAAAATGTCCAGTATTCAACAAAAAATTATATAGGTAGGGAGAGAGGCATGGGGAGAAAGAAAGAATACATTCACATGAGAATGAGAGAACGTGTAAATAAATTTTCCTGATATGTAAAATGAAAACAACTTTTCATTTCTGTGTTAAATTATAATCTCCTCTTGGATTGTAAATTTATTCTCCTCTTACTGGTTATGAGTTGTTTGTTGGACACAGAGTTCCTTTTGAAGATGTTTTTAATTGAATTTTTTAGAGAGAGGAAGGGAGAGGGAGAGAGAGAGAAAAATTGATGTGAGAGCTACCTCCTGCATGCCTCCTAGATGGAGCCTGTAATCCGGGCATGTGCCCTGACTGGGAATAGAACTGGCAACCTTTTGGTGCACTGCACAACGGCCCAACCAACTGATCCTCTTCGGCTGAGCACAAAGTTACTTTTAAATGGGAGTTTTCCAGCCCATGCTGAACTCTTCCATCTCAGAATTCTTCCATAATGAATCCTCAAGGTCACTTTTCTGAATTCTGCTTCATGTTTCAAATTGATTCACAAATCATTTCTCCAAAAAAAATCGTAAGTGTCCAAAAAGGAGGTATACAACTGAGGTATACAACTGAGGTGTTGTATACCTCAGTTATGCTACCCTCAGATTTTTTAAAAATATATATTTTTATTGATTTCAGAGAGGAAAGGAGAGAGAGAGAGAGAAAGAGAATGAATCATCAATGATGAGAGAGAATCATTGATCAGCTGCCTGCTGCGTGCACTACACTGGGGATTGAGCCCATAACCTGGGCATATGCCCTGACTGGGAATTGAATGAACCGTGACCTCTTGGTTCATAGGTCAATGCTCAACCACTGAACCACGCCAATCGGACACTACCCCCAGATTTTAACACACAGCCGTAGTAATGGCTAGAAGAATTTGATATGGAGAACTGTGTACCCTGAAAAGAATTAGACCAACTCTTACATATCAAGACTCTCCAGGGCCACTAGATAGACTCCTCGCACGGGGAAAATGGACGGTGACTTGCTGTTCATTAATTGTTGCTTGTTTATAGGTACCAGTTACATTCAGGGACGTGGCTGTGGTCTTCACACAGGCAGAATGGAAGCTCTTGAGCTCTAAGCAGAGGATCCTGTACAAAGAAGTGATGCTGGAGAATTACAGGAACCTGCTTTCGTTGGGTGAGGCTATGGTCTTTCCTTCATTAATTCAGTAGAGATTTATGGGCCACTTATCCTGTGCCAGAAAAATCCTAGACACTTAGAACAAACACATTAGTCAATGAAATAGTAACCCCTGCCCATGGGGGCTTTTTCTAGTGTATGGAGACAGACAACAAATAGCTTCATATACAGCAGTGGTTCTCAACCTTCCTAATGCCGCGACCCTTTAATACAGTTCCTCATGTTGTGGTGACCCCCAACCATAAAATTATTTTCATTGCTACTTCATAACTGGAATTTTGCTACTGTTATGAATCGTAATGTAAATATCTGATATGCAGGATGTATTTTCATTGTTACAAATTGAACATAATTAAAGCATGGTGATTAATCACAAAAACAATATGTAATTATATATGTGTTTTCTGATGGTCTTAGGCGACCCCTGTGAAAGGGTTGTTCAACCCACAGGTTGAGAACTGCTGATATACAGGGATGTTATGTTAGAAAGGGATAAGCACTACCTAGTAAAAAAATAATAATAAAATGAAGCAGGATAAAGGAGCATTGAGTGTGACAGGGTGGCTGGCTGAATTTTGAAATCAGTTATTTGAAGTCAGCGAGGAGGGAACATTTGACCAAAGACAGAAAGTGGTGAGGGAGTTAGAACTCTGGCTCTCCAGGGCAAGGGCATTTCAGGTGCAGACTTATTTGGTGCTAAGACCTTAAGGAAGGGATATGCCTGTGGGTAGAAGGAATTGAGACTGGAAGCACAGGTAGCAAGGGGGAGAGTGGTGAGAAATGCCTTCTGCGACAGAAGTTGAAATTAAATGTCAGAGTTTGTATGGCTTTTGAGTTTCATAAGCCAGATTATTTCTTTTATTTAAAAACATACATTTATTCTTTAAGTCTAGGTTGATAAATACTTTTGATTGTAATGTTATTCTGCTTCAGGGGTTGGCCACTTTTTCTACAAAGGGCCAGATCGTGACTATTTTAGGTTTTGTGGGTGATATGGTCTCTAACCACTCTCAGCTCTGCCCTAGTAGTGCTAAAGTAGCCACAGATGATGTGTAAATGAGTATGACTGTGTTCCAATAAGACTTTATTTGTGGACATTGAATTTTGAATTTCATGTAATTTTCATATATCATGAACTATTACTCTTTTGACTTGTTTTCAACTCTTTAAAAACTTAAAAACCATTCTTAGCTTGTAGACTGTACAAAAACAGAGGGCAGGATGGGTGGTTTTAGACTGTAGTTCCTTCCCCCCCCCCCAATTTGTTCTAGATCAGCGCTGTGTAGTAGAAATATAATGTGAGCCACATGGATGATTTTAGATTTCCTAGTAACCACCTTTAGAAAAGTAGACATAAATGGGTAAAATTAATAATCTTACTTATTAACCCGATATATCAAAATATTATTTCAACATGTATTCAGTATAAAAATTATTTTACTTTTTGGTTATAAGTGTTCAAAATCTGGTGTGTACTTTATGCTCAGAGCACATCTCAGTTCAGACTCGCCACACTGCAGGTGCTCAGTAAACATGCATGGCTAGTGGCTGCCCTACTGGATCATGCAGTTCTGGGTATTTCCATATTTCCAGATAAAGCATCTGGGGAGTCACAGTTTTGGAAACACAAGCTAGTTTCAGGCCGGAGTTTCTTCAGGAGTTTGCTCAGCTGGCCTGGCTTTTTCCATGGTCTCAGTTAATCAGATTTTATTTGTTCCATTTTTATCTTCTTTGATATGCTTTGATCTGGTTCCATCTGGTTTGTGCTCTGTCTATTTAAGTTGGATTCATCCATTTCAGTCTGGTTTTGTGTGTTTTGATTTGGCCTTAGCTATTCAACCTAACTAGATTTTATTTTTATTTTTATTTTTCTCTGATCATACTTTTCTCTTTCTCTATGTTAATTCATTGAATGGGTTTAGAGGAAAATGTTGAAATGGCCTGGTTCAAATTAGGCTCGATAAGGAAAAACTGGATTTCCTGAAATTGTTTCCTTTGTCTTGCTCGACACACAGCATTCTGCAGTTCCCTAGCCTCTTACACCCCTCTTTTTGGTTTTCTCTCTTGCTTTTCTTTGGATTAGTGTCACATGCTTTTTTTTTTTTTTTTTTTTTTTTTGTCATCTATATTCAAACTCTTAAACAATTTGTGAACTTTAATGATTTTGCTCATCACGTATTATGATGAACCCATTTTCTCTGTCACTATCTCACCTGTGCTTTTCTGTTTGATTACAAGAATATGTTTATTCTCAAACTTATCCAAAAGTTGAGGTCATACTCTTTTCCCTCCTAAGCTCATCTCTTGTTCTGTAATTCTTCATATATTCATGTTCCAATGTCTCTTCTTCAAGGGTACTGTTGGAAATAAGTGGGCCAATTTCCCCTGAAGTAATCTTTAAAGCTTTCATAGGTGAGATATTTCAGTTAGTATAGGCTAGGTAATGCTGTGATAACAACACAGAACTTCAGCAAATGTTCATTTCTTATAATACCTCTTATGTACAGTTCAGGTAGGAGTTTACTAATAGCTTTATTGGGATTCTGCAATCCAGGCAAAAGAACCAGTCTTTGTCGGGGTCATGGGGTTCTTAAAGAAGAGGAGAAAAATGGAATGAAGAAACCACATTGTGGCTCTTAAAATGTGTTCGAGCCCATTCTGGGTGGTTCAGTTGTTGAGTGTCCCGACCTGTGAACCAAGGGTCACCAGTTTGATTCCTGGTCAGGGCACATGCCTGGGTTGCTGGCTCGATCCCTCGGTAGGGGGCGTGCAGGAGGCAGCCGATCAAACATCTCTCATCACTGATGTTTCTATCTCTCTCTCCCTCTTCCTTCCTCTCTGAAATCAATAAAAACATATTTAAAAAAATATGTTAGAAAGTAGCACTAACTTTTCACCCATCTCCCATTGGCCTAAGCAAATCCCATTAGCCAGTCATTGTAACGGGATTGGTTTGGGCACAAGGTGCCAAAATCCTGAAATTGTGGATCATGTATTCCTTGTCCACTGCAGAATCCACAATATTTAGTAGAGAACCCAGCACTTAAAATTTCTAATAAGTATGTGTTTGTGGGTGGACAACCTGAGATTCAGATTTATTTCATATGCAGTCTCTTTAAGCCCTGTTTCATGTACATACTCCCGTGTTTGGAAGCCCTCCAGATCAAGTGACTTTTTATGTTTATCCGTTTTTTTTGTTTTCTGTGATAAGAAAAGTCATGAAGGAGATTTTCATGTCGGGCATAGAGCCTGTTACCTCCAAGTACAACAGAATTGTGAACAGCATATCAATGTGAGTGTTGATGGCTTAGATGACTTACTAGAAAGAAATGTCTGACAGTATTGAAGCTGTTTACAAAGCTGGATGCTTAACTGAGAGGCTCCTAGTCTGAGTGACAGGCAGAGGATGTTTCTGGTGTGGTTTTACTGGATTGTAATAGAAAATGGAATGTTTAGAAATGGAATATAGAGGAATTATTAGTGGAAAACGAGTTTTGTTGTACATTTATTATCAATAGTAGGTGTGGCAGGAAGATACTCTTTGTCCTAAGACAAGGCGGAACAGCCAGCTGCCCACTTAGGGCTTCTCTAACTGAACACTCTTTCTCCGGCAGAATCAAAGCCAGAAACAGACTCCTGTTCCTCTTGCCTTCTGGCCTTCTCCCATCAGCCTCTCCTCAGCCAACATGTGCTTCCGATCTTCTTGGACTTACGTGACTTCCATCCAGGGGATTCTGGCCCAGGGCATCAGGGGCAGAAATGTTCTTCTCAAAGCTGCTGGAGTGAAAAAACAAAAGGTCAAGAGAGAGAAGGTGGCTTCAGATCCTTGTCTGTGAGGACAGAGGAGAGAGAAACCTCAGGCGCTGTTCCCAGCCCACCCCGAAGACAATCAGCAAGTCCTAGAGAAGGCAACCCAGTGGTAGAAATAGAGCCCAAGCCAGCCCAGAGGGTATGCCCTGTGCAAATAGACAGGGGAGCGGAGTTAGGAACCCTGAGATCCGGAGTAGGCAGCTGTAACGAGCATGAGCTAGACTGTAGTCTGAAATCACACTTTGCTGGACACCAGGTGACCCTCTCAGAAGAGAAGCCCTATGTTTGCAGGGAGTGTGGGCGAGGCTTTAACAATAAGTCAAACCTCAACAGACACCATCGGACGCACTCAATGGAGAAGCCTTATGTGTGTGGTGACTGTGGCCGAGGCTTTAGCCTGATGGCGATCCTTGTTCATCACCAGAGGACACACTCAGGAGAGAAGCCGTATGTGTGCAAGGAGTGTGGGCGAGGCTTTAGCAAGAAGTCCAATCTGAACAGACACACAGAAACCCATTCGGAAGAGAAGCCTTATTTGTGCAGGGAGTGTGGGCAGAGCTTTAGAAATAATTCAGTCCTCATTAGACATCAGTGGATTCACTCTGGGGAGAAGCCCTATGTGTGCCCGGAGTGTGGACGAGGATTTGCTTACAAGTCCACCCTCAGAAAACACCAGAGGACTCATTCAGGAGAGAAGCCCTATATATGTCAGGAGTGTGGGCATGGCTTCAGCGAGAAGTCATCTTTCATCAGACACCAGAGGACACACTCGGGGGAGAAACCCTTTGTGTGCCTGGAGTGTGGACGAGGATTTGGTGATAAGTCAACCCTCAGAAAACACCAGAGGACACACTCGGGAGAGAAGCCTTACGCGTGCAGTGAGTGTGGCCGAAGCTTTACCCAGAAGTCATTCCTCCTTATTCACCAAGGGACACACTCAGGAGAGAAGCATGTTTGCAGGGAGTGTGGGCGAAGCTTTAGCTACAAGTCAAATCTCATCAGACACCAGAAGACACACTCAGACGTGAAGCCTTATATATGTAGGGAGTGTGGGCGAGGTTTTTTCTATAAGTCAGACCTCATCATACATGAAAGGACGCACTCCGGGGAGAAGCCTTACGTGTGCAGTGAGTGTGGTCGAAGCTTTAGCCAGAAGTCATTCCTTGTTATTCACCAGGGGACACACTCAGGGAAGAAGCATGTTTGCAGGGACTGTGGGCGAAGCTTTAGCTACAGGTCAAATCTCATCACACACCAGAGGAAACACTTGGCGAAAAGCATGTTTCCAGGGATCACGGACAAGACCCAGCAATCAGTCAAATCTCATCTTACACCAGAGAGACACCTGGGGTCTGTGTGTGTGGAGTGAGTGTACCTTCAGGGAGGTGTTGACTCTCATCGGGCACTGAGGACACATTCAGCAGAGGAACCTAAGTGTGGGTAACTCTAGCCACACTTAAGTGGGAGGCGTTGTGTGTGCGGGGACTGTGGATGAGGCGGTAGCAATAAGTCAGCGTTTATCGAATATCCAGTGGCAGGCAGGCAGGCAGGCAGGCAGGCACAAGGTGGCACACTCGGAGAGGAGCAGCGTGTTTGTAGGGACTGTGGGCAAAACCCTTGTGATCAGCCAGCCTTCTCCTCATGCCATAGAGAGTTCCTTACGTGGGGGTACGTGGAGCTCTGCCCAGATAACCTCATCAGGACCAACACCCCTGCAGCTCCGGATAACGGCTGCTGATGCTGCAGAGACAAAGTCTTTCCTAGGACCTGCTCTCAGCCACAGGGAACTGCACCTTCCTAAGGGCTGGCTCCTGGCCAATGGTTGACTGCTATGGGGAGACAAAACCTCAACCCTGGACTCAGTTGTGTTCAAAGGGTCATCCTGGATCGAGAGATGCCCATCACATCTCAGTTGTGAACACATTGCAGGTCAGCTTCTTCCTCTGCCCAGTCCAGCCCTCATTCACCAATAAACCACTTAATTCTCCACTCCCTATCTCTCCAGGGACTCCACTCTAAGACATCTTAAGTGTACAAGGAGCGTGGACATGGCTGTGGCCATAGTCACCCCTCACAAACCTCAGCGTTTGCATAGAAACTGTGTGTGGGCAGAATGGGCATGGATTTAGGAAAAGTGCATCTCAGGATGCATCAGAGAACAGCTATATTGTGGGAAGCTTTATATAGGCGGGGAAGGAGTCCGTAAGATGCTTAAGCAATCAGTTATATTAGTTACACCTCGTCTTGCACCAGAGGTCAGTCTGAGAGAAGATCTGTGTGGGCAGGGTTTGTGGGTGAAGCCTTATCCGGATGCTCCTCCTCAACAGACTAAGAGGACATTCTTGACACCACAAACCACTACCTCACCTTTGAAGGAGTTTCACAAGTCTTGACACCCCCCCCCCCCATTCTCTGTATGAGAGTGAAGATGGCACTAGCCACTAAATAGACATGGTTTTCTCCCAGTTTTTGTAATCAGATGGAGTAAAAAAAGTAAAGAGTTTTACTTAAGTAACCTAAGAATGACAACTTGCTTTATTTTCATACACCAGTTCCTTCCCATGTTTTGTCCTTTTGTTATAGTAAAATGATAAGCTCCAGCAGCACACCGTAGTCTCTCATCCACCTGGAAAGGAATTCACATTCACAGCCTAGATTTCCTGCGTGAATTCAACCCTTGAGAAAAAATAAGTCCAAATAAATCTGAGGTTATCTGAGCCTTTGCGTGGGGAGGATGATCGGGGTTCTGGAAACATGCCAGCCGAGGGGAGAACTTCCCAGGTCTCCAGGCCTGGATTGCCTCTTCTAACTGATCACTCCCTTAGGCTTTTGTGAAGGCTCCCTTCCCTGGGTTTTCTCCTTTCTAATCTCTGCTCGGGTCTCTGCTGAACCCTTCTCATCCCCATCACACCATCACTGGTCCTTAATGGTCTGTTCACATCCTGCATTTTCGGGGTTCTGTAAGTATACTCCCTGTGCGGCCTTCCATGGTCTAAGCTCAGGTCCTTTAACCATGCCCTGCTCTCCAGTCATGAATGAATGCTTTGGGCCTCTTAGCTACTCATAGGTCTAAAAGCCCCTAAATACTGCTTCAAGGCCATGTCCCCACAGCCCTCCAAGGGTCTTGCTAATGACACCCCACATCATCCTTTTACTAGCTGGTCCAAGACAGCCTAGCCATACACCACCATTGTCTTTTCAGCCCAAGGACCTGGCCCTTTGGCCACACCCTTTCCTAGTCCCCCTCCCTCAGGGCCCAAATTGCTCAGTTTGACAACTCTACACTCCCTGGCTCTGATTTCTATGTCCTGGGCCAATAACTGTTCATTCTAGAAGGAGGGTCTGCCTAGACTCCAGCAAATTTGCTTGCTTAGTTGGGGTTTACCAGGTCACAAATTGGACATCAGGCTTTGAAAAGCAAAAGCACAGAGTGGTTTTAACACCCCATCAAAGGAGGGGGCAGTAGAAGAGTCTGAAGGAGTCACTGGCTCCAAGGCCTCTGCTCACACCCTCAGCCGTGCGCTCAGCTCTGCAGCGGGTCCTGGGTCAGCTCTGGTGAGGGGAAGGTGTCCGCATGGGGGTGTTCCCCTAGTGTTCCTTTCCTAGAACTACCCCTATCACATCAACTCTTAGCTTCTGGTCAGAACTAGAAGCCACAGAGGGAAGAATGTATTTGGCTATGTCATCTCTAGGGTTTGCATTCCCGATGAGCTCAAGGCCCTTCCTCCATGTCCTGCTATTGGGAGAGAACAATGCAAACAAGAAAACCAGCACCTTCCTTTAAAAAAAAGAGTATATCCTGTTCATTAATTTTAATCTGGACATCATTTTGGAGAATAGCCAAGCACTCAACTGACCTTTAATTAAAGAAAATTACTTGTGATAGGTTGAAAAATGACATTAGGATCCACAAAAAAGGAAACAAGATTCTTAGAGTTCCATCCACCAGTGTTCTGAAGAGGATATAAACACCCCTTCTCCAGCTGAGGAGTGGAAAATCTCACAAAGCCAGGTGCCCTGGGGACAGGCTTCGCCCTCATCTGCTGCTGATGTAGACAGACCACAGGGCGGGTCCCAGCTTACCCTGCTCACCAGCTTGAAGGAGAAGCTGGTTCTGCAGAATCCTCACTGCTGCTGGCCATCTGTTCCCCTTTTCCTGACCCCTCACTTCCTTTGGGAACTAGGTTATTTTTTTGTCAGGGAGGAAGAGAGCTTAATGTGAATTTTAATGCCATTTACGATAGTTTTTATCTGACCCGCCTCTTTGCAGTGTCTGTTCCAATCATCTAGAGCAGTGATGGCGAACCTATGACACGCGTGTCAGAGGTGACACGCGAACTCATTTTTTTGGTTGATTTTTCTTTGTTAAATGGCATTTAAATATATAAAATAAATATCAAAAATATAAGTCTTTGTTTTAAATATGGTTGCAAATATCAAAAAATTTCTGTATGTGACACGGCACCAGAGCTAAGTTAGGGCTTTTCAAAATGCTGGCACACCGAGCTCAAAAGGTTTGCCATCGCTGATCTAGAGTGATAGCAGGCCTGTACCTTTCCCTGTGCCTAGTAGACACTGCCATTAACAGAGGCTTACTTGTCTTTTTTTAAAAATATATTTTTTATTCAGAGAGGAAGGGAGAGGAAGAGAGAGATAGAAACATCAGTGATGAGACAGAATCATTGATCAACTGCCTTCTGCACGCCCCCTACTGGGGACTGAGCCCACAACCCAGGCATGTGCCCTTGATGAGAATCAAACCTGGGACCCTTCAGTCCACAGGCCGATGCTCTATCCACTGAGCCAGACCGGCTAGGGCAAGGCTTACTCGTCTTTTGAGAGAGGGGCCCAAGCTGTGAAAACCTTAGTGTAAATAAATTTGGTAATATTGGAGGTATGCCTGAAAACACTTCAGATCAGGTTTTCTGCCGAACAGGGGTGAAAATCTGGAAGAGATGATACAGGGAAACAGAAAAATTAAGAGAAGGCACGAAGGACAGCACTGAGACTAGGATAAATTTGGAAGTCAGAAGTGTTGCCATTGCCCAGACAAAATTTACAGGACAACTATGGTGATGGTAATGTGGACTAAAAGAGAAGACAGGCATCATAGGGTTTGTTTTGGAAGTCCTCGGTGTTGCAGCTTTCCAACAGGAGAAATATTTGCAAAAGATAAAAGTTCTCATCACTCCAAGAATCCAAGCAGAAAGCCAACATCATCTTATCTGTGCTTATCATAAGAACTAGAGGCCTGGTGCATGAAATTTGTGCATGTGGGTGGTGGTGGTGGGTCCCTCAGCCTGACCTGCACCCTCTCCAATCTGGGAAACCTCAGGGGATGTCCTCCTTACGGCTTACTGGAGGGTCGGTTGAACTGGCTATCCTCTTTCCCCATCTAAGTCTTGCATTGTGCTGACCTGTGTGGTAGAATATGTGTGTGTGTGTGTGTGGAATGGTGCCACTTATTAATATATTGTCTCAGCTCTACATTCACCTCTTGTAGCCTGATCTGTGAAAACGGATCTGGGCCCTTGAAGTCCTTTTCCTTTGTCAGCTGGCATGAGGTTTATCAGTAGTGGTCTCTGGAGCAAATTAGGAAGGAAGGAGGTTCTTTCCTGGCTGAGTTCACCAGGGTCCCAGGAGTACCCTTTCCCCCCACTCCTCGACCAGACCGGCGCAGTTTCTTCATGCTAAATGCCTGCAGGACACAGCTTTCTCCACTGATTGGCCATCCTTTGTTTTCTTCAGCTCTCCACTCAGGCAATGGTGGGTTAGCCGGGAGCCCAAACAGCACAGGTCATTGCTCCTGCACCTTCTCTTCATCTCCATGGGCATACAGTCTAGGGCTGGACTGGCTTTCTGGCAAGCAGCCAGACTTTCATCGTGTGCCGAGTCCCAGAACTCCCCTCCCTGGTTGCTACTCCCCAGACCCTCTCTTCAGCTCTGTGTGCATGCACACCAGGGTCCTGGCAGTTACCTTTAGCTGCCCCAGCTCAAGCTGTGCACAGAAGTACCCTAGGTTCTTTAGGCTTTCCAGTCTCCATTTCTGGCAGTGCCTATAGCAGTGATCTGACTGTCTTTGCTCACCTGCCCATCAGCCTCAGCTCGCTTGTGCCTCATAGGTTTGTTTGATGCAGCTCTTCAGATGCAGACACTGCGTGGTCCAGGTTTTGTATCAACATCAACATCTTGGTTCTCTGTCCACATCCAGCTCCCTCTGTGTACCTGCCTACCACGTTTGGCTGGCCTGCATTCCAGACGGTTATTCCTGCATGCCAGCTCTGGCGTGTGTAACCCCCCACCCCTACCCCCACTTCTACCATCAGTGGGCTGCAACCACTCCTCCAGCGAGGGCTGATCCCCAGTCTTCGGGAGGGAGCTCTCCTCTGTGTATCCTTCTTTAGAACTCTACCTCAGCTGAGTTTTCTTTCAATATTTATAGTTACTCTCCTATCTTTGTATAATATATACTTTAAAAATCTTCACCCAAGGATATGTTCTACTGATCTTAGAGAGAGAGAGAGAGAGAGAGAGAGAAACATCAGTGTATGAGAAAAATATTGGTTGCCCCCCTACGTGCCCCAACCAGAGATTGAGCATGCAAACTAGGTATGTGCCCTGACCAGGAATCTAACTAGCAACCTTTTCAGTGCATAGGACGATGGTCCAACCAATTGAGCCATACTGCCCAGTGCTGTATAATGATTCTTTATGTTCGATTTCCTATTTAAATTACTGTGTGGTTTATGTCTCCTCATTTTACCTAAACTAATACAGATGTGAATTGTGTATGTAGTTCAAAGACATGAACTTTTGATGGCGTTTATTCAAAGAAACAATGCTAGTCAAAGTTATTACGAATACTAGCTGGGGCTCTGGGCCTGAACCCAAACACAGAAATCTAACGGCCTAGGCCTGGGGACAGCCAATCATAGCCTGAAGGCCGATCGAGCCTGCTTTTGTAAGGCTTACGAACTAAGAATGGTTTCTGCATTTTAAATAGCTGAAAATAATCAAAAGAAGAATAATATTTTGTGACACATATCTGTGTCCATAAATAGTTTTACTGTAACACAGGCACACATTTGTTATGTATTGTTTATAGCTGCTTTCCTGCTACAACAGTTGAGTTGAGTAATTGAATCAGAGACCATATGGCCCACAAACTCTAAAATACTATCTGACCCTCAACAGAAAAAGTTTGCTGATCCTTGATCTAGACCAGCAATTTTCAATCAGCGTGCCACAAGAATTTTTAAAACATGTAATTCCCGACTATTTAGTCAGGGGCACCGACCTCTTTTCCCTTAGATTGTCAATAAGAAAATGACAACAGCTAACAGAACAATAGCTATCCAGTGTGAATGAATCAAAAATATACCTATTTTTTTTTGTCAGATTGGTAAAAAATACATTTTTTGTTTGCCGAAGAAATTTTAGTTTATGTGGTGCCATGAGATGAAAAAGGTTGAAAATTGCTGATCTAGACTGAACCTTGGGAACACTTTATCAAAGGCCAAATGAATAGCCTACTTAACCCCATGCTCTGGAATTCATGACCTCTTTTTTCTTATTTGTAGATATCAACAAGCTGATTCTAAAATTTATATGAAATCACAAGGGATCTGGAATGCCAAAACAATCTTGTGAAAGAAAAACAAATTAGGAGGACTCACATTTTCTGATTTCAAAACTTACTACAAAGCAATGGTACTGACATAAGGATAGACATACAGATCAATGGAATAGAATTGAGAAGTCAGAAGTAAAACCATGTGTCTTTGGTCAACTGATTTTCCACAAGGGTGCCAAGACCAATCAGGGCAAAGAATAGGTTTTTCGACAAATAGTGCTGGGGCAACTGGATATTTACCTGCAAAAGAATAAAGTTTAACCCTTACCGTATGCCATACATACAAATTAACTAAAAATGTATCAAAGATCCAAATGTAAGAAACTAAAACTATAAAACTCTTAGAAGAAAGCATAGGACCAAATCCTTATGATCTTGAACCTGGCAACGATTCTTAGATACGCCACCAAGAGCATGAGCAAGAAAAACAACAACAACAAAAAAGGTAATAGATAAATTGGACTTTATCAAAATTAAAAACTAAGGTGAAAAGACAATCCATAGAATTAGAGAAAATGTTTATAAATCATATATCTGATGTGGGACTTATATCTAGAATACATAAAGAACTCTTAACAACTCAATAAGAAAAGACAATCCAAGGATGATATACAAATGGGCAGTAAGTACATGAAAAGATGCTCAACGTCATTAGTCATCAGGGAAATGCAAATCAAAACCACAATGAGATAGATACCAGTTCACACACCTTACGATGGTCAATCCAAGTCACATAACAAGTGCTGACGAAGAAGTGGAGACATCAGAACCCTCCTATACTACAGGTGGGAGTGTAAAACAGTGCGGCCACTTTGGAAAGCAGTCTGGCAGGGCTTTTATACCTGCCCACCTCCCATTTTTGAACTGTGGTCACTAAATGAGTGCCCATGTTTTTCTTCCATCAGATGGGAATGGAGGACAGTGACTCTTGATCAGGGAGCACCGCCGCAGCAGATCAGAGGAGCAGGAACCGGAGCCTGGGCTGAGTTCATAAAAAGCAGGATCTGGACAGTGGCTCCAGATGGAGGAGCCAGAGGAACCTGTGGACAGTGGGCAGTCACTGCCCCCGGTTTACATCTACAGTCCCGAGTATGTCAGCATGTGCGATTCCCTGGCCAAAGTCCCCAAACGGGCCAGTATGGTACATTCTTTGATTGAAGCATATGCACTGCATAAGCAAATGAGGATAGTTAAGCCCAAAGTGGCCTCCATGGAGGAGATGGCCACCTTCCACACCGATGCCTATCTGCAGCACCTCCAGATGGTCAGCCGAGAAGGAGATGACGATCATCCGGACTCTACGGAGTATGGCCTGGGCTATGACTGTCCAGCTACCGAAGGGATATTTGACTATGCGGCAGCTGTGGGAGGGGCTACGATCACAGCTGCCCAGTGCCTGATTGATGGAATGTGCAAAGTAGCCATTAACTGGTCTGGAGGGTGGCATCACGCAAAGAAAGACGAAGCATCTGGATTTTGTTATCTCAATGATGTTGTCCTGGGAATATTACGATTGCGACGGAAATTTGACCGTGTTCTCTATGTGGATTTGGATCTGCACCACGGAGATGGTGTAGAAGATGCCTTCAGTTTCACCTCCAAAGTCATGACCGTGTCCCTGCACAAATTCTCCCCGGGATTTTTCCCAGGAACAGGTGATGTGTCTG